GGAGGACACCTGAGCCCTAGTACTAAACACTGCTGGCAGTCTTTGCTCCAAATGAAGTCAATGGCAACTGCAGCTGCTCAGAACAGATGTAAATTAGAGCTCCACAACAGCGTTTTTCCTGGTACATCTAATTTTTGCTGAAGGAGATACATGGGAGAAAACAATGTCTGGCGGAGAGAGGAGTTTACTGGGAATAAAAAGAATCCTGGGCCAGATTCACAACAGTTTGCCTGTAAAATAGCAGCTCAACTTGACAGATGTAGGTAAGAAAAAGCTGAAATTTTCATTCAGCCATATAATCATGTAAAGATAACCTTGTAAATAAGGGGACTTAAGTAGCAGCAACGCACCATCAGATCCCTCGTTGGGTTAAATGAATACTAAGAAAAGGTTTTCCACTGCGTAACTGCAGTCCAAACATATATTCAGCTCATCCTTTTAACCAGTATTCTGTCACTCTATATGTAGGGCACTCTCCTTTTCCCAGCCAACTAAACTAGGCAAACCAAACCATATTCTACTACATTATATAATTCAAGGTATGTCTACATTAGGGCTGCTGCAAGTACAGAACGAAATCCCTTTCACACCATTACAGCATAATACTGCACTGGCAAAAAGAGTCAGGTCTGTATCTGGTTGGGAATAGCTGCCACTCATGGGAAGCTAGTCAAGTTACTCATGTTAGCTCCAGCAGCAAGAGCCAGCACTTTATTCTTGCATTTTTGGTATCGTTGAAGTATGATATATGCAGTGTATGTGACCCACTCTTTCATATAATAACCATGTCAAGCATAAAAGAGGGAACAGGAGAGAAAAATATCACAGTTATTATTATATCATTGGTTTTTTTGCTTACCACAAGTCCTAGCACAAGGGTACGCACTCTCTCCCCAATCTCTGGTGAAATGTCATTGCCAAACTGCTGTAAGGTTGTAAGAAATCTCTTCAGTTTGCTGAGTTGCCTAGCTCCACAAGCTGGCGGTAACTGCTGGTTAGCCAGAGAAGAGGAAGAGGAAGAGGATGGCCCATTGCTAAAGCCATTAGGAGGAGATGGAGCTCCATTTAACGCTGTTGGTGAATGGCTAGTGCCATTGGTTACTGAAAGAAAAAGAGAGAAGGGAGGATAAAACAGAGAGAGGGAGGAAGAGAGAGAGATGGGGGGGAGAAGACAGAAGGGAAAATCCATCAGCTTATGTTTTCTGCGCTTGACCTTAAAATTAATTAAGTTGCACAATCAAAGATAATTAGCCTTTTGACAGAGCAACACTCTGCAGTTCATATTTATTTCCCAGTAGCTGGTACTGAACGGTGTACGGATTGGAAGTAAAGGCAGCTGCCTCTCACACAGCCCCCTCAAAATGCTCCTGGACCTGAAAAGCATCATTTGAATACCAGCCTTTTGTCAGAGGATTTTTGAAAGAGAGAGAGGGAAACAGAGAAAGAAAGAGCATGAGTGCCATGTATGATTGAAGACAAAAAAAATTGCTCTTTGGGGTAGAAAAAAATGTGCAGACATATTTCACGAAGCCTCAGTTTATCTCTGAATATTTTTACTTGTGTTTTGTACACACAACTGACAGCTGTGTTTATAAAACAGGACTTTCACGTTTTAACCTTACACCACCCAATGAGAAGGTTACTTTTTCCGATACAGATTTCCTAGCTGCTAACATACGGAGCACACGAAGTTGTTTGTGCAGGTACAAATGGTGCCATGCTCACTGTGGCCTTAAGCCCTGCAGGTAGGGCATGAAGCTAAGACTTCAGAAGACTTCTCAGAGACCACGAGCAAATCACTCAGCTTTCGTGTGCCAATACCATATCTCTAAAAAGGCTAAGACAGAATTTCCCTCCTGTTGCAAGGCTGCTGTGAGAATAACTATCTAAAGTACTAAGTGTTCAAAATTTATGGCAACGAGATTCATGCAGACATACTGAAGACAACAACAGACAGTTTTTGGCAGCAATTTCAGTTTGATTCTTATCCACACTCCAGAAGAGAGCAGAGAATCAAACTGAGGACATCCTTTTCCACCCAGGTTACTTGGAACAGCAACAGTCAAACACACTCTGTTGAGGTTGTTTGAGTCTGACTCACCAAAATGACAGCGAATGGCAAGAAAAAGGATGGCTCCCTAGAAATACAAATGTACCAGTGCACTGTCAGGTTTGGGCACGCAGCACGCAACTGCACCCAGCAGTACCCGTGCTCAGCTGGCCATTGCCCTGGACAAATGTGTTGATTTCTTTTGGGGAAGTCACTCAGAACCCAGCCCAAAAAACAGCAAAAATCAGGAACTGGTCTACAATAAAAAATGCATAGGAGCATTAGCCTAAATTACTTCCTCTTTAAAAACATAACCATGGCGAGCTAGCAACTTGAAGAACTTTCAACGTTCCTTAATGACCGGCCTTCTCTGAAGCCAAACATCCCTTTCTCTTTGTCACTTTCTCCATCAGTCATCTTTACTTTTAGCCAGCAAGTCCTTTTTGAGGGTGGACACCTATTACTACGTTTAAATCACTACAATACTTTTGAAGGAGCCTTTGTCCCAGTGACTGAAGTGCCCTTCTGGAGGTACTAAAGAAAAAGCTATCTGAATGGTTATATAGTTTCTCCTTGTTTTATCCTAGTTTGTGGTTGCCTATTCTAGCTGCGTGGGCTGGGGAGAACAGTAAGTGGAAAAAGCAGAAACAGAAAGAAGCTGGCTGCAGCAAGTTCAGCTCCACGTGCAGCTCCAAGCCATGCTCTCTGAGTGCTGCAGTACAGTGAGATATCCGAGTAAACAAATACATTGTGATTGCAAGGACCTTGCACAGCCAGAAGTCATCATACCATGAACTTAGTAAATGAGGATTGGGAAGAGTAAGAACATGTCCTGCTCTAGCTTGACACCACCCAACAACTCCATCACTAGTAAGGGGCTGCTCTAGGCAGAGACTCCTGGGACTATGATCAAGAAAGAACAGAAGAGCAGAGTTCATTACCTACGATAGATTAGATATGAGGAGGAGAAAGGCAGGTAACTTTTCTCCCACAATAAAAGAAATACAGAAACACTCCCCCAATGCAGCTTCTCTAATTTTGTTTTTTTTTAAATAGCCCACCCCATACTAATGATTTTATCTCTTTCTTTATAATGTCTGAATTTGCCAAATGGCAAAGATCTACGTCATTTCTAAAACAAAACCATGTTAATAATAGAACAGAATTTAGCATCTAAAATGTATGTCAAGAGTTTTTAATCATCTAAAGCAAAGAAAACAAGCATACTCTTGACCAGAAAGTAAGTATGATCTCCCTGGCCTACAGGCATTCCCACTGTACTAATAATAAATGTAATGGACACTCCAACAGAAGTGACTTGTTTACTGTACAACCTGGAACCACTAAGGCCAAACTCCAAAATCTGACAGAGTAAGACGTAATAAAAATTAGACTTTTTTAGACTTTTAGTGTTCATATAAATAGTCCCAAAAATCCAGCCATGGTTCATACACCTTCCAAAGTGCTGAACCCAATCAAATAAACAAATATCTAGAAATCTTGTGAGTACACTGAGGATTCTAAGACTGATTAAAGAAGAACACTGTCCTATTCCTTTTATGATTGCCAAAGATTACTGTGAACTGTGCAAAGTGCATGACACTGGAAAGCTTAATCTGTAAGTGCCCCATCCTGCAAAAACCTAGAAACAATTTAACTTTAGACCAGAGCAGCTCCTAGGATGATTCAGGTGCTGGAGTTAAGCAAAACAGACAAATCTTTGCAGGATCAGGGTCACTGGGTTAAATTTGAGTTTGTGCAAATAGCTGGCACAAACCCTCCTCACTGTTTAAGTTTGATGTAAATCGTCAGAACAGTGTTCCCTGGGATAAGTAGTACAAAGGCCTCCAGCTGGCCTTCTGCATAGAGGTGAATTTTAAATAAGGCATTTAACAGACAGAAAGGGACTGAACAGACAAAGGCAAGACAAATAGAAGATGCTGCCTTCATTCTGTTTAGGCATATGTATTCTACTGTTCTAAAAATGTTTTATTTAAAATGTGAAATGTAAACACATTCTCATGTTTATACTATTACCAGGCAGTATAAGAGAGACCAAAAAATTTGCAGCTAAATCTTGGTACGAGAAATGTGGATCATTTCATGGCTGTGAAAGTAATAGTCCAGACAACATGCCAGATTGAAATCTCAGTTACACTGATACAAATGCAGAGCAATTCCATCAAGACTAGCAGAGTTTCTTGTGTGTTTACATCAATAAACTGGGACAGAGATGCAGCCCCAAGTGATTTAGAGAAGTAAAGTGGTCACAGACTGGAAATCTCCAGACAAAACAATAAAAGGCCTTCATTTTTAGTTTTACATCAACATTAACTAGACATTATATAGCAGTTAAAGCAGAATTCTTCAGTCATAAGTGGGATGAAGATAAGTATTTTCTTTAAGAATTACCCCCACTTTAAAAACATAATCAAACAAAAGACCCGAAGTTTCTATACAAAAGGGAATGGAATCCTTTAACCAACAGAACGGCATGAAAGAGGAGAAGGTGGTTTTCCGTACTTCTCACGGAAGGACTGATCTGAGCATTAAGTACATGGGAAACCAGCGCTCGTTGTTCTTTGACACTGCTGCCAAGTTGTCAATGAAAGAAAAACACAACTCTGAGCCAAATGTCTTAATACCTTAAAGTTGCATTATGTTGTGATCTTAGTTTTGCTTAATTACTTTATTATAGTACAACCAAATGCTGCTCCCACCATGTCATGCAGGTTTCCCTTCACAGATTTTGGTTTCTTACATACAGAATAGAATGAATATGGAAGAAAAGGAAGAAAGTAAGTCTAATTACACGTTGTGGGCGTGAATGAACTGGTTCTTGGAGCTCCTTGGGTAGTGGGAGGAGGTGGCATGGTTGGAGGCGTCAGCCTGGATTGTGTCTTCACATCCACAGGTGAGTCTGGCATTGTGGAATGCTTCTCAGTGCGATCTGCAACACACACCACAGGAATACACCAGTTTATTTCCCCAAGCACACCCCCTCTGACAAAAACTAAAAAGCTAATGCAAGGAGTGAGCCATTTCAGCATCTGCCGTGAAAGATTACACCTGATTATCTACTCCTGGGTGCTCTTCCCAAATTACATCATCTAAACCTTACTTAAGAAGGTGTAACACAGATGGTAAGACTTCATTTGTAGCACTGCTGCATTATCTTTTGTTTTTATTTCTAGCATGTGCAGATGCCACCTCCCAAGCACTCCTGGAGCTGCAGTAGTGCCACCTCCCTTCAAGGCTCTCATGTCAGCCAGAAGGAAAAAATAGACGAAGACACAGGCATGTAATAAATCCCCTTATGACAGCTCTTCCAGAACTAAAACCTGAAGCTCTTTAGTACACGTGAGATAATGGGTGAGATATTGGTTGAAGCCAGCTCTCTTCACGTCTCTTTGTAACACCTGCTGCCCTCTCCATCACTTCTCTTTGTAATCATGGAGAGATACTTACATTAAATACTGTGAACCTTCTGGATCACTTTACCACCCTGCCCCTGGATATTCTTACATTCACCAGAAAAATAAACACAACATGCCAAAATGGTAAGTCAATTGTCACATGTACATACCACTGTTTTTAAAAAAGCATCTAAGTTTGCACCTTCACACATTAAGAACAACTTTACGTTCAAAACCTGCAAGGTAAGTAGAAATATACCTCCACAAGAAAAGAAAACTAACAAAAGGCAAAACCAGGCAGAAAACCTAACAGTTCTCTTGCAGCTGAAGACCTAAAGATGCAAGATATTTGATATAGAAGCTAAAGAAGTATCTTCTTTTTCCAACGTCTTTTTGGACACCTCTATGTTAAAATTTTTAAAAACCCACCCAAACCTTTATGTTTCATTTATCAAGAATGGGCAAACCATGACAACATTTACCAACTGAAAGCAAAATTAAGGCTTCCTTGCTCATGCCAGGAGCTTAGCGAGCCATCTTGAGTAAAGATGAGTAAGATCAAGTTTAGCTTTTAATGGGCATAAGTTAAATTCTTCCATCCCTTCTTTGGGGGGCCAGAGTTATCTATTTTATAGACTGTCCTACACAAGTCCTCCTGAGCAGCATTTTGCAACTATTTTGCAAAGCAAGTAAGTGTCGCTGCTAATAGGTGGGCATGTAAGCCTGTGGTTTTAATTCAAGACAATAGCAAAGTCCATCACGTTCTATAAATTCTGTCACTCCACTTTGCAATGTGCTTTCCTTGTTCTTGCTAACAACATAGAGACTTCAACCAAAAGATTATATCTAAAATTTGCCCTGAGAGACACTAAGAGAAATTAAATGCAATGCACACATTTAACAAATGAAGTGTATGTTTAAAAGAGCCTCAAAACCACTTAATTATCATAGTTAAAAAAAAAAAACTAAAACCAAAACAAAAAAACAACCACAAAAAACCCACTAAAACACAAATACCACACAAAAATTAATGATGCATAATAGATACCAATCTTTAGCTGCCTGAAACTGAGGGAAACTGAGGAAGTATATCCCAGAAATGCAGTGTGTCAGGTACTGCAGTTATAGAAGCCATCTTCACCCTTTGTAGAAGTGCCTACAGATGATGTTTCAGTTCTCAGGGAAAGGGATTCATTTTATATAGACTTTAGAGACAAGTTTGAGGAAGATGAGCAGTGGAACAACCCCAGAACAGGATGAGAGGAATACAGATACAGTATTATAGGATCTGTAGTGTTGATCTCAGGTTAGTAAACCTCGGCTGTGTAGGTAACAGTATCCAAAATGATTAGCTTAAATATTAAGGCTGTTACACAGACAGGTAAGGTTTGATTTGCAAATCAAGCAACAGTAAATTATTACATGCTGGAAAACAAAAGCAAGTTTTTAAACATATTCTATACAGATTTCCTTTCCATACTGCCATACTAAAACAGTTAAATCTATATCTTCAATAAACCATTCATTTAATATAAAGAACTATGAAAACTCATCTTGAAATGTTAATTGCTTCCTTAATAGCCGAATTCATCTTGCACTCACCTCAACCAACCTCAGCAACAAGGGAATAAATAGCTTTCAGCTCATGTTGCAACAGAGGGAAAGAGGCACAGCAGTGAGCCCAAGCCCTCCTAAATAAAGGCAAATATTTCTGCCATGCCAAGAAAGGAGAGAGAAAGGGAGGCTTGCCAGAGCTGGTGGGGAGATAACAGTGGGAACTGCTGGTCCATCTGGTTTTCATTCTGCTAACACTCACACTGAACTGTTAAGGAAGGCAGTCCAGGTACACAGATTTGAAGCATGTGGGAGCGCAGACACAGGCACAGAGGAGATGGAGGTGGGTGGAAGAAAGAGTGAGAGAAATCGAACTCCTCTAGCAGTCTGCTGCTTGCAGCGAGCAGGCACAGCCTGTATCCTCCAATTCAGCTGTGGATAACTAAAAGCGATCCTGAGTCTGTAACCAACCACACAGCTCCCGCTCCCCTCCTTCGCTGCATTTCAAAGTTCAGGTCTGATCAGAAATGTGCTCAGATTGGAGGGGGGAGGCATTCCCCAAAAGCTGGCAATGTTTTGTTACTTAAATTGAACATGGTAGTGGGAAATAGTGTGTTGGTTTTGCACTCCAATTTCAGATTGCCATTCTACCGCGATCCAACTGGTTTTTACTCCCTCGAACGGTGTCTGCCACCTGGTTTGCAGCTCGCTGAAATTATCCACAGACTCCTGTACTTCTCATATCAATCTAATGACACTAGGCTTGATTTTCCTAATTACCTTTCTTTGGACCTCTCAGGGGTAAAAAAAACCCTCTACAGGCCACTTACCTTTGCTTAACCTCTCTTTCCCCCTTGCAAAGCCCTAAACCCCGCTCTGCTACTGTGTGGTGGCAGGCAGACAGATTTATCTCTGGTTGCTCATGAGCTCCCTAGCCCTGCCTTCTGTAAGGAGATACAAGGCTCCTTTCAAGCACACCTCAGAATGCTTCTAACTAGGGTACAAGATTATCTTGTCAGAGCAGAGACTCTCCTGGGGGCTGTTGGAGGGAAGAGCTCTTGAAGAAGCCCAATGCAAAACGCAAAACTCTTCCACGTGCTTGGAAGACACCACCACACCGCCCAGGAGAACAGCCTTTATATCCCACTTTTCCACCCTCTTTAATAGCAAAACTCCTGCAGGAGCCGTTCTGCTCTTACTGCTACTATTTACCTGTTTCTTGCCTCTACAGCTGGTTTCCCAGCCTCTGAGGGAGCTATGGGGCTGGGAGCACCTGCCTACAGCGGCTCTGCACTGCACCCACCGCTGTCCCACCACCCACAGCCCCAGAGAACCTCCGCAGCTCTGTTTTTTAAGAGGTAGATCTCTCATGGGATGGAGTGGTTATGGAGCACAAAGCAGAGCCACCACTGATAAAAGCGTTATCAGTTCTTGTGATCTGACCTCCCAAAGCTTGCAGTGTCTGATACTTAGCCTAGAACTCCAGCTTCTACAAATCATTCTTTATTTTTCTAATTAAAAAAAAAAAACAAACAAACCCAACAACCAACACTTTTTACTCTAATTGTTGAAAAGCCGCCTGATGATATGAAAGCTAAAGGCAAAATGGTATATAAATCGTATTCACGAGCCAAGTTTCCCCTAAACCATGTTATTCCATGAGGGCTTTTATCTATAAACATTTTTCATACAAACTCTTAGTCGATACTCTGCTGTCCATACATTCAGAGGTGATGAAGGTTTGGGAGGGGAAGAAAGAATCCCTCAAGAGGAAAAACTGTTTTTTACATGTGAAAACCTCCCTGTGTAAGATTTCATTTATATTTGCTCCAGTTTTATAATACAGGAGCATATACATTGAACTTTGCCTGAAATGTGGAAGAACTTTAAGGAAAGCTGTGTCTTAAAATGGCTTAATTTCTTGAATTCAAAAACATTTTTATGCTTTCATATCAAACCAAACTCCGCATTTTCAAAGCTAGTTCTGATTTTTTTTTTTCCCTGTTGGACTCTGACATTTCAAACAATAATCCTGAATTAGCAGGGACACACCAGAATGTTTCATACAGGCAGTATCCCACAGCATCACCCATTTCAGAGGACAGACTATGTATACAGAGAGAGTAACTTCTTTCAGGTGCAAAGATTTCTTCCACCGAACCCCTCTAAACAGGGACGGACTTCCACTCCTTAGCCCAGTTCGGATCAAATGGGGCTGACACCAGGGGTCCTCCAAACGGGAGGGAAAAGGAGACATCTGCAATTCATTCTGCAGTGTTTGCTGCAATCAATTCAGGATGGAGATAAGATGGTGAAATAGTGGTCTAGTCCTAATCCATACACACAACCCTCTGGTGCAGTGAGAGACTTAGAATAAATTCAGAAAATATGTTTCAAGTATGCAGAGATCTACTGCATTTGCTTTGGATTATAATTTTTTATTTAAAAAAAAACAAACCCAAACATTTCGAAATATACATTCCTGAATCTCTTTTACAGCATAGAGTGAAGAACTATCATTTTACCACAGAAGTATTTTGCTCCATTTTAAATTAAAGAATGTTGTAAAACCAACTTTAAATTATGATACTTCTTCTGTGGATTTCCTGGTTCATGAAACTATACTGTTCTTGTCATTCATTCAGTTTTTATGGTAGGAGTTATTTTTATCACTATATTTAGCTGTTAGGTGAACACTGATATTTACCGTAAGCACAGCCAGCTTCTGAAGACAAACAGGGAAGAGAAAGTAAAATGTGCAGGAGCAGGGGCAAACAGAGATGTGCATGTATTCAAACTGATTTACTTTACTTCCTGTACCCTAAAAGATTTAGTCCATTTTTAAAACAAGGCCGTCTTTCATATATGGCAACATTTCAGCTCATGTGGCACCCTTCCAAGTCTAACGCATCAAGGAAAGCTGATGTATGGAACAAAATATGGAATATATAAATACTTTACTGATACCATTTCAATAGCC